TTAGTTTTTCTGAAAGCCTGATTTTGACCCAAACAGATGGCGCACCATCCGTACAAACCCCAGAGCTTTTTTCCCATGTTTATCATCCAGTTTCAAAAAACGTATTTATTTTCTCCATGATATCTTCACAAAATAGCAACTCTTCTAGCTATCATCTGAGTGAATATATTTCTCAAAGACAAGCAACTGCGAACACAAACTCCCGTCTGTTGATTTATCAATTTGAAAAGCAGGCAATGGTGAAAGCTTGATTTCATTTAAAATTTATTCTTTAACATCTACGTACAAGACTACTATAACCCACCCGTTAAATAGTATTATTAGACAAAAATATTTGTTGCATCTTTACTGCACTGGAATCCCCAAAAATTAATTTCACCACCTTCAACATGCAGGGTTTCATGAGATTTTCTCCTATTGTGTAAGGTTTTTTTTTTGTTCTGCAATTTTAAAATGCGACTTTATATGCTGTTTCCAAGGTGAAAACTTCCTGTTCGATCCAGTCTCTCACTTTTGCAACTAGCCGACGAAAAAAACTCCATATCTTTTTTTGGTGTGTCCCGAATGACTCGTCTCAAAATGACTTTTTAGTTTTAAAAGTTTCATAGACTCATGACTGAGAACAACTTTGCACAGTACGCATTGTTTTTTCTCTATTCAATTTCCAGTGATGTTGGTAAAGCCGAATTTCATAATATTCTTCTAAATTTTTAGCGCAATTTCCATTCTGGAGAATTGCGTTTATTAACTCGTCATTTCTGGGAATGGATGGATGGATGGATGAATGTGTGTCCGGGCTTTAAGTCGTATCTCCTCCTCAACGAAGCAATATCGATGAATAGTTCCAAAAGCAATTATGTTAAGCAAGTTACGAGAATGAGCATAGGCCATAAAAATTCCGGGTTTCTTTCATGTATTTCCCGGAAAAGCCAAAAAACCTCGAAAACATTCAGTTTTTGGCCCATATCTCGGCAACCACTTAGCGACTTGAAACATGTACCAATCGATTTCTGTCATAATTTAGAACAATATTGCCGAAGAAAGTTTTCAAAAATATTCTCTCGTTCGGTCACAAATTTTAAAATTACATAAACACCTACAAACCGATTGTTCTTCTAGCTTGAACGCACCCCAACATTATACGTCAGAGCTATTTTTAGATAACATAAGGAAATTGCGCACAAATGTCACTAGACTTTTTTAATTAACTTGTTTTTTTCATTGTTAGGGTTTAGTCTACCAGTTGGCGACCCCCCTCCCCCCCTCAGAAAGCACTTCGCGACTCACAGTTTGGGAACCAATGATGATGGACCGAAGGGACAGGACATTAGAGGATATAAATTACAATAACTAGTTAAAAAAAGTATTGTATGGTTCTATATTCTAATAGACACAACAGATGGATATAAATTACAATAACTAGTTAAAACAAGTATTGTATGGTTCTATAGTCTAATAAACACAACAGATGGATATAAATTACAATAACTAGTTAAAACAAGTATTGTATGGTTCTATAGTCTAATAGACACAACAGATGGATATAAATTACAATAACTAGTTAAAACAAGTATTGTATGGTTCTATGGTCTAATAGACACAACAGATGGATATAAATTACAATAACTAGTTAAAACAAGTATTGTATGGTTCTATGGTCTAATAGACACAACAGATGGATATAAATTACAATAACTAGTTAAAACAAGTATTGTATGGTTCTATAGTCTAACAGACATAGCTGATGGACCGAGGGCACAGGACGTTACATCACTTGGAATCTGCGAAGGTGCAGGAGCTAACGAAAGGAAACCAAAGTTTTCTCTCCAAACAAATTTGGTTGCTGTCCGAGCCAGAGGCGTAGCGACCCTTCCCGGCGCCCGGGGACAAACTTTCAATTTGGCGCCCCCCCCCTTCGGGAACAAATTTTCGATTTGCACCCCCCCCCCCCCACCCTTCAACTTTTCGATTTGCACCCCCCCCCCTCAAACTGCAAAAATGCAGCTAAATTTACATTTTAATTTGTTTTTACAACCCATTTTGGCGCCCCCCTCAGGTCGGCGCCCGGGGACATATGTCCCCCCCCTGCCCCCCCATAGCTACGCCTCTGGTCCGAGCCTCATCTTCCCGAGGGTTCAAACTCGAAACTTTCGGAGTAGCAACTATGTGCTTACCCGCCCAACCACTATAAGGGCATAATAAATATAAATAACTAAATTAAAAAATTTAAAAAAAACCACTATAGCAAAAAAGCTTTTAAATGCACTGAAAGTAAGAAAATAAGACTAACGACTAATTGTTTTCTTTCATAAATGCGATCGTCGCTAAAATTTGTAAAAGATCTCATGAGCGACCAAAGCTTTTATGAAAGAAAACAAATGAGTTTTATTTTCTATTTTCAGTGCATTTAAAAGCTTGTCGCTTTAAAAAAATAGTTTTTTTTTTAAATTTTTTTTTAATTTTCTACTTTTGAGTGATTCCTAATTTATGAAGTTGCCACGGCGATATCTGAAGGACGATTATCGGCCCCGTGAAGGCAGATTGCCGTGAACATATTTTATAGACGACAGCAAGGTTTTAGTTTTGTTGCCTCTCCTCAGTTTTAAATCGTTTAAAAACTTAATTATCTGCCCCTAATAGCCTTCACCAGATCGACCGGCATTACGATTATAAAAATTCTCGTGAACCACAGCTAAACACTGACTGTTATTAAATATGGTAATTGCGTCTAGTTAGCTATCAACTTCCCTTCAGTTATTGAGTATAGTAATCTATCGAGTCATTTACTTTTTTTTAAAATCTCCCCTTAGTGTAAAAATGTTACATTAATTTTAATGAATAATTAAAATTAAACATCTAATTAAATGTAAGCTCTGCTGGGTGGGGGGGGGGGGGGGATCACTAAAATCTATCTACCCTTCCCGAGGCTTAACTAACTAGTCTGTCCGGTCAGTGCAACCGTGGTAGAACCCACAGTAGTTAAACCCTAACCAGTAGCGTACGCAGGGGGGGAGCAGCCAAGTGGCGCCTTTTTGGAAACTTTATATATATATATATATATATATATATATATATATATATATATATATATATATATATATATATATATATATATATATATATATATATATAACACATGTATATAGAACGTGCTAAAAATTCGGCGCCTTTTTTTGCTCATTTCGCTCCCCCTACAACGAAAACCTGGATACGCCTCTGACCCTAACCTTAGTCTTATATAAAAGAAACACAAAAAGCTTTAACAAAAAGCGCAAACAGAAAAAAAGCGCAAACGGAAAAAAGCGCACACAGAAAAAAGCGCACACAGAAAAAAGCGCAAACAGAAAAATGCGCAACCAGAAAAAAACAGCAAGACAAACTAAACCCTAACCCTAACATCAGACTAAACTATCAGTAACCCTAACTTCATACTAAACTATCAGTAACCCTAACTCTAACATCAGACTAAGACTAAACTATCAGTAACCCTAACATCAGACTAAACTATCAGTAACCCTAACTCTAACATCAGACTAAACTATCAGTAACCCTAACATCAGACTAAACTATCAGCAACCCTAACGTCATACTAAACTATCAGTAACCTTAACTCTAACATCAGACTAAACTATCAGTAATCCTAACATCAGACTAAACTATCAATAACACTAACCCTAACATCAGACTAAACTAACAGTAACCCTAACATCAGACTAAACTATCAGTAACCCTAACTCTAACATCAGACTAAACTATCAGTAACCCTAACATCACACTAAACTATCAGCAACCCTAACGTCATACTAAACTATCAGTAACCTTAACTCTAACATCAGACTAAACTATCAGTAATCCTAACATCAGACTAAACTATCAATAACACTAACCCTAACATCAGACTAAACTAACAGTAACCCTAACATCAGACTAAACTATCAGTAACCCTAACTCTAACATCAGACTAAACTATCAGTAACCCTAACATCAGACTAAACTATCAGTAACCCTAACATCCGACTTAACTATCAGTAACCCTAACATCAGACTAAACTATCAGTAACCCTAACCCTAACATCAGACTAAACTATCAGTAACCCTAACCCTAACATCAGACTAAACTATCAGTAATCCTAACCCTAACATCAGACTAAACTATCAGTAACCCTAACCCTAACATCAGACTAAACTATCAGTAATCCTAACTCTAACATCAGACTAAACTATCAGTAACCCTAACATCAGACTAAACTACCAGTAACCCTAACATCGACTAAACTATCAGTAACCCTAACATCAGACTAAACTATCAGTAATCCTAACCCTAACATCAGACTAAACTATCAGTAACCCTAACCCTAACATCAGACTAAACTATCAGTAACCCTAACCCTAACATCAGACTAAACTATCAGTAACCCTAACCCTAACATCAGACTAAACTATCCGTAACCCTAACATCAGACTAAACTATCCGTAACCCTAACATCAGACTAAACTATCAGTAACCCTAACATCAGACTAAACTATCAGTAACCCTAACTCTAACATCAGACTAAACTATCAGTAACCCTAACCCTAACATCAGACTAAACTATCAGTAACCCTAACATCAGACTAAACTATCAGTAACCCTAACATTAGACTAAACTATCAGTAACCCTAACATCAGACTAAACTATCAGTAACCCTAACCCTAACATCAGACTAAACTATCAGTAAACATAACATCAGACAAAATTCTTGACACTAGTGTGGGCACTCATGTGAGAAGTGGTCAGAAGTTCGTGTCATTATCAGTTTTTTGTTGCTTTGTCATCACCCACACACAGAGTGTTACACACACACACACACATTTGTTACAGTGGATTCATTGGACAGGCACCAGCTGAGTGTAACAGAATCAACGTTGATTGGTTTATATTTAGAACTGGTTTATTATAGTTTGTATACAATTATTACATTTATATTATTTTAATTTTAGTACTGAATGAACATTAATTTTAACATTGTCAAGACCACTTATTTTGTCTTTCAGATGCATGTGTTAGACAAGCTTTAGTCTTATTTAAACCCTCAATCTTTTTTTCGAATATTCATTTATGGGATATTGAGAATTAAGAAGAATTTAAAAGAGTCCTAATTTATGACACCATTTTTGAAAATTTTAAATTATCCAACAATAAACGAATGGCTGACGAACGAACACATCTGATTGCTAGCGGAAGCTACCGTCATGCCAACTATAACGGGTACAGCGACGAAATCGATCTCAAGGAGGACGGAGAAAAAGGTAAGTCTAGTTTAAAAGCTTTAATAAACAAAAATAATTTATGCTTGAAGCAGAGCAGGGCCCAATGCATTTAAGGACCTTTTTCCTCTTTAAAAAAGTTAAAACTTTTACATTGGAATTAGAAGGTTTGTTTAATATAAATAATTTTTAAAAGAAAATGAAAATCCAGTTACTTTTCTATTGTAGAAATAATTAAAAGCTCCTAAAGGGCTACCAGTCCTTTCTTACTTTAAAGTAGTGGGATTCAGTGTGTGTGTGTGTGTGAGGGGGGGGGGGGGGGGTCGAACAGGACCCATCCGTAATAATATTACATGCATTGTCGCATGGTCATGCAAGCCATTGAGAGAATTAGGCTATAAATAAAACTTGAAATTACTCTTTTGTGAGATCGACATCCAGCACCCGTAAATTTACATGCATCGCTACAAACCTCAACTAACTGGGAAATTCCCTACCCCATCCCACAGACCTGCAACTCTTTCCCAACTGTCAGTCCTCCGCGAAATTCCATGTTACTAAACATGCATAATAACAACTGAGCAATTTAAAAAATTCATAAAAAACGTTTTAATAACAAGCTTTTATGTAATGATGCACTAAAAAGTAGAAAATAAATTATAGACTACTATTTAAATAACTATAAAGAAAAGCGTGGGTCACTTTAGTATCTATTGGATACCTTTACTAATGTTAAGGAAGACACCCACGCTTTTCTTTATAGTAATTTAAATAGTAGTCTATAATTTATTTTCTACTTTTTAGTGCATCATTACATAAAAGCTTGTTATTAAAACGTTTTTTATGAATTTTTTTTCAGTACTTTACATGTTTTATCTACAATAGAGTTACATGACTAAAAACCATTGCGCGCCTAATGAATATCACGTTCAGTAGGCGCGCAATGGTTTTTGAACGCAGCCATTACATGGTCGTGATGGCGCAGCTATTGATGACGCGTGTGGTGTGGTTGGCTAGACATGCCTACTAATTCGGTCCAAATTTTAATTAATTCATAAAAAATCAATTAGGCTTCCAATTAAGTCAAATTTAGTTTCAGATTGCATTGTCTTCATGTCTTGACCCACGTGCCAACTGTGAATCGTATCGGTCAAGTAGAACTGTCCGAATTTTCACTCCTGCGTTTCCGTCTAGACTGACGACAGACAGAGGAAGTGAGTTAAATAAAAGCTTGTAAAAAAAAACAAGCATGGACAGTGCATTGAATGCATTTGTCAATGTTTTTACAAGCTTTTATTTAACTCACTTCCTCTGTCTGTCCACACAATTAAAAATACACAATTGGTAACGCGTTGATGAAACCCTTACGAATTGTTTTGTTACCCTGGAATGTCGGACTAGATCTCAGCAACGCGGACGGGTACGCTAGTTAGTATAAACATTCTTCAACATTCCACAGTGATCGGGAAGGAGATGTTTGTGATGGAATTTTTAAATATCAATATTTGCTCTCTATGATGAAGTTATTTGTTATGAAACACATTTTAGGTATGCCCATTGGGTCAGTAGCTTGGCCATCCTAAGAAACGAACATACAGAAGCAGCTAAAGTAGATATCAATGAACATATTAATTATTTTTTCAAAATTAAAAGCATAAAAAACAGATCTAAATAAATCATTAGCAATTCTTTTTAAAGTGTGTCACAAGATCGGGTGTTACCCTATGTGTTTACTACTGGTGTCACACCATCGTCTCCAACAAATTTGTGTTTACTAATGGTGTCACACCATCGTCTCCAACAAATTTGTGTTTACTAATGGTGTCACACCATCGTCTCCAACAAATTTGTGTTTACTACTGGTGTCACACCATCGTCTCCAACAAATTTGTGTTTACTAATGGTGTCACACCATCGTCTCCAACAAATTTGTGTTTACTACTGGTGTCACACCATCGTCTCCAACAAATTTGTGTTTACTAATGGTGTCACACCATCGTCTCCAACAAATTTGTGTTTACTAATGGTGTCACACCATCGTCTCCAACAAATTTGTGTTTACTAATGGTGTCATACCATCGTCTCCAACAAATTTGTGTTTACTAATGGTGTCACACCATCGTCTCCAACAAATTTGTGTTTACTAATGGTGTCACACCATCGTCTCCAACAAATTTGTGTTTACTAATGGTGTCACACCATCGTCTCCAACACATTTGTGTTTACTAATGGTGTCACACCATCGTCTCCAACAAATTTGTATTGTCGGTGGGGTGTCACCCCTCCTTCGCTAATATGTTATTATTTTAGCTGGATACAACTTAGTTTTGACAGTACATTTTACAATGTTTTGTCATGGTGTCACACCTCTGCCCCCGCTTTATAAAGCTACTGTGTTTGGTTACTTAGAAAAAAACAACCAAATTAACTGTAAGCCTGTAACATTTTTACAACATAATAGTACAGTATAAATACACAGGACATAAAAAATACAAATTGTACAGAATATTTATTTAGAATCCTCCATCATAATTAGCAGTTGTTTTCTTCGTTAGACTCTATTGCAGCCTGACGGCTGACGAAGGGGCCCACTGATAATTTTTGCATAGGGACCCGAAAATCCTAGTTACGACACTGTTACAGCTTCATCAAACTTGTTTTCAATAATCTTTTTTACTTACTATGTAACTGATGTAGCCCTAACCCACATTTAAAAATATGTAGTAAATTCAGATCACAAGCTATTTGGCTAGATTTTAAAGTCAGACCACGCGCTGTGTGGCTATATTTTTGAATAAATAACTCAAAGGATCATACGCGTCAACACACGTCATCGTAATAGTTTCAGACGCTAGAACATTCACATGCATCGTCATGACACCATGACACACAATACGTCAACACACACCATGACACACATTCGTCAACATACACCATGACACACATTCGTCAACATACACCATGATACACATACGTCAACACACACCATAACACATACGTCAACATACACCATGACACACATACGTCAACACACACCAGGACACACATACGCCACCACACTATGACACACATACATCAACTAACACCATGACACACCAACGTCAACACACACCATGACACACATACGTCAACACACACCATGACAGACATACGTCAACACACACTTTGAGACGTATACGTCAACACACATCATGAGACGCATACGTCAACACACACCACGACACACATACGTCAACACACAAGCAATGATAAAGAGACTGTGTTTGTTTGTGTATACCTATCATCTATCTATCTACATACCTATTTATCTGTCTGCCTGTCTGTTCGCCTGTCTGTCTGTCTTTCTGTCTGTCTTTATGGCTGTCTGTTTTTCTGCCTGTCTGTCTGTCCGCCTACCTATCTGTCTACACACATACACACAAACACACACACGCAAGCACACAACACATTAAACGGAACTAGCGGCCGTACCCGGTGCCCTGAAGTCGTGTAACCTGTGGCTCCCGAGAGCGCCCCCCCCCCCCCCCCGCTGTACTCGTGCTACAACAATACACTTGTGGTTTGTGCAAACAAAACCTCGTCTATCCTGTCTACAAATGTCTACACTTGAAATTCTGGGCTACAGTTGAAACAGCCCTTAACTTGATCTGCTCTTCACAGCTTATCTCCAGATCTAAAATTAGTAGCCGCTTGCTGTGAAAATTAGGTATGAAAAATCTATGTAATCGTACTACATTTTTGAAAAAATCTTTTTAAAAATATGACAAGCAATAAAATTATAGTTACATTTGTAAAAATAAAAGCCATTTGGAAACCATCGATTACACTCATTATTATATTTTTGTATCGAATATAAGCCGTTGAAAAACCGTTTAGAATTATTTTATCAATTCAAGTATTTTCAAAAACTGCCCTCAACCTCTGCTTGAAGTCAACCGGAACGGCCATGGAGAGTAAAACAATAAAAGTCAGAACAATTGATTTCCGTGATAAAAAATACACAATAGTGTATGGCGTAGTATTGTATTTATATTAAATAATACAACATCCCCAATCACCACAACACACTGACTCTACTAATCTAAATTGAAATAAAAGTGTTTGATAAATTACTATCATATTAGGGGTCATCCATAAATAACGTCATGCTTTTTTTGGACTTTTCACTCCTGCGTTTCCGTCTAGACAGACAGACAGACTGTCGAGGAAGTGAGTTAAATAAAAGCTTGTAAAAATAAAAAAATAATAATAAAAAACGTTTTAATAACAAGCTTTTATGTAATGATGCACTAAAAAGTAGAAAATAAATTATAGACTACTATTTAAATAACTATAAAGAAAAGCGTGGGTCACTTTAGTATCTATTGGATACCTTTACTAATGTTAAGGAAGACACCCACGCTTTTCTTTATAGTTATTTAAATAGTAGTCTATAATTTATTTTCTACTTTTTAGTGCATCATTACATAAAAGCTTGTTATTAAAACGTTTTTTATTAATTTTTTTTTCAGTACTTTACATGTTTTATTTACAATAGAGTTACATGACTAAAAACCATTGCGCGCCTACTGAACATCACGTTCAGTAGGCGCGCAATGGTTTTTGAACGCAGCCATTACGTGATGGCGCAGCTATTGAAGGTGATGACGCGTGTGGTGTGGTTGGCTAGACATGCCTACTAATTCGGTCCAAATTTTAATTAATTCTTAAAAAATTAATTAGGCATCCAATTAAGTCAAATTTAGTTTCAGATTGCATTGTCTTCATGTCTTGACCCACGTGCCAACTGTGAATCGTTTCGGTCAAGTAGAACTGTCCGAATTTTCATTCCAGCGTTTCTATCTAGACTGACGACTGACGACTGGCGACAGACAGAGGAAGTGAGTTAAATAAAAGCTTGTAAAAATAAAAACCAACAATTTAGCTTTAAAGGTAAATTTACTATGATTTAAAAAGAAAATTTGGGGGCCCCTAAAAATTGGCTGCAGCCCTCTCAGCACCCCCCCCCCCCCCTTAATCCGCCACTGCTTATTACACAAATGTTATGAAACATTCAATTTTCTGGCAACAAAATTTTGGAACCATTTGGAACCAGCAGAGGCGTAGCGAGGGGGGCGGCGGGGGGGGGGGACATATGTCCCCGGGCGCCGACCTTAGGGGGGGGGGGCGCCAAATTGAAAGTTTGAGGGGGGGGGGTGCAAATGAAAAGTTCGAGGGGGGGTGCAAATCGAAAGTTTGAGGGGGGGGGGTGCAAATGAAAAGTTCGAGGGGGGGTGCAAATCGAAAATTTGCTCCCGAGGGGGGCGCCAAATTGAAAGTATGTCCCCGGGCGCCGGGAAGGGTCGCTACGCCTCTGGGAACCAGCTTTTCAAGTCTATTGTCGAACAAATGCGATTGTTAAATAAAGTTTTAGAGTAAAATTAAGATATTTCCAATGAACAGCGTTAAGGTTTTCGTGTATAAATCATTATGAAAATGACAAAAATAGATACAACAATTATTTACGTCACAGCTTTTGTTCATATAGAAATAATTCTGAAAGTTGGATTTCCATAAACTGAGTAGATAACAAATTCGTTTGATTATTAAATATCAAACTGTATAATACAAATTAAAACTTCAACAAACCTTTGAAATGAACACTGTAAATTTTTAAAAGCTGCATCAATTATAAATTCATTTTTTTTAAAGTAAATAATTGACAATAAAATCGTTTCATTATTATATAAAAAAAAATTCATTAAATAGTATCCTTAGCAACTGACTTAGTAAAAACAAAAAATCTATCAAAACCAATTTTTTGTGCTTTTCTTGCGTCACGCTTTGCAGTTAGTTTAGAGTATAAACTTAATGAAGGTAGTATTTAAAATACGTTTTTTAACATACAACATTGTAGGCTACTTTATCAAAACATGCACATTCTATAATTTCTACTTTTTCGTATACATAGTATAGAAGAAGTATTGTAATCGAGCACAAAAACCACATGAAATTTTTTACAGTTTTCATCTTTTTACACATCTTTACTTTATCAGACACGGAGTATAGGGGACTTATTTTATTCGGACAAAAATAATAAATCCAGATTTATCTAAACTTCGGCGTTTTACGCGTAATTGAGTCGGAAAAACTGGGTTTTGCAATTCTTCCCGAGTGTATGTGTGTATGTCAGTGAACACGATAACTTGATTGCCGTTACAGCTAGGTTGATGAAATTTCATATATAAGTATTATATCAAATATATATATATATATATATATATATATATATATATATATATATATATATATATATATATATATATAATATAAGTGTATATAACTATTATATCAAATTTGTAGATCTGTTTTAACTTTTCAGCCATTTCCGGTAAATGAGAGTGGAACTTATTCTACTTTTAGTTTTTGAAAAGCCTATAACTTGAGCACTGTTTCAGATATAGAGACACAGTGCTCTCGAGATTTATAAGTAAAAGATTTAATTATCTGCCTTATGTCAAATTGTGATTAATTTCGGTTAACTGGAAGTAGTACTTTACGCTGTTTCCGATTTCTAAAAAAAAGCACATGAATTTATAAAGTACTAATATTTCGCACTTTTATACACACAATTTCTACTTTTCACTAGTTGCGCAATTCTTTTTTTCTTCGAGATTCTATTCTATTTTAAAAAGTTTATTTAAGAATTGGTTAAAAATCATATCTACATCCCGAGAAAGTTTAGGGAGATCAATCCCTCTTTATTTCTAACATGAAAACAAACTAAAATAAACCAGAGGGTGATCTCCTCTAAACTTTCTCGAATATTCGATGGCAACTCGGGATATAGACATGATTTTTAATCAATTTTAAATACTTAAACTTTTTAAAATAGAATAAAATCTCGTAGAAAAAAAGAATTGCACACCAAGTAAACGCCAAATAAAATGTGTATAATAGTACGGAATATTATTAGTACTTTATAAATTCACATGCGTTTTTTTTTTTTTTTTTGTTGAGAAATCGGAAATAGCAAAAATTACTACTTCTGGTCAACAGAAATTACTCAAAATTTGATAGAAGGCAGAGAATCTGATCGTTTACTTACATGTGAAATTTCATTTATCTATCTGAAATAGTACTCAAGTTATAGGCTTTTGAAAAATTTAATGTAGAAAACGTTTCACTTCCGGTTATCGGAAAAGTGTTCTAATCAATTCCCCAAAGTTTCATGGCGATCGGATGAACGGTGTGAAACCGCAATCGACTTTTATTTTTATATACCGTATATTGAGAAAAAACAAATCACGCCCTACTGGGGCGCCATCCCTGCGAATTCGAAGTTTTTTCTCAACAGCTTCCCAAAGTTTCATGGCAATCGGATGAAAGGTGTACTAACACATAAAAGACAGACAGATACACAGACATACATAGAATGCTTTATATATATAGATAGATAGATGATAGACAGATGAAGAGATATCCGTCGCTAATTATAACATAATATGTAGAGACCCATCCATGAAAATAGAATAAAACCACCAAGCAATCTTCATTTGCTTTCTTTATAGAAATTCCGGCGAAAACTTGGAACGGTATGATCGTTTTTGCTCCATGATTAATTCTGTTTTATCTACTAACAATATATGGGGAGCCGAAAGACACTTACCCGAATTGGGTAACTTTAATCAGTTTACTAAAAGCTAAAGGATATTGGCAAGATATTATTTGTTCTTTGAATCTGAACGAACACCAGGGTTAAGGATAAATCAAGCACAATAATCGATTACATCTAAGCATCACGTGACTGTAACCTGACTCACATCCGTGTCTCTTCTTGTGGTTTACCGACAACTGCCCAACCACTCTACTGCTGACTGCCCAACCACTCTACTGCTGACTGCCCAACCACTCTACCACTGACTGCCCAACCACTCTACCACTGACTGCCCAACCACTCTACTGCTGACTGCCCAACCACTCTACTGCTGACTGCCCAACCACTCTACTGCTGACTGCCCAACCACTAACTGCTGACTGCCCAACCGCTGACTGCCCAACCCCTCTACTGCTGACTTCCCAACCACTCTACTGCTGACTGCCCAACCGCTGACTGCCCAACCACTCTACCGCTGACTGCCCAACCACTCTACTGCTGACTGCCCAACCGATGACTGCCCAACCACTCTACTGCTGACTGCCCAACAACTCTACCGCTGACTGCCCAACCACTCTACTGTTGACTGCCCAACCGCTGACTGCCCAACCACTCTACTGCTGACTGCCATACCACTGACTGCCCAACCACTCTACTGCTGACTGCCCAACCACTCTACTGCTGACTGCCCAACCGCTGACTGCCCAACCACTCTACTGCTGACTGCCCAACCACTCTACTACTGAATGCCCAACCACTCTACTGCTGACTGCCCAACCGCTGACTGCCCAACCAATCTACTGCTGACTGCCCAACTGCTGACTGCCCAACCACTCTACTGCTGACTGCCCAACAACTCTACCGCTGACTGCCCAACCACTCTACTGCTGACTGCCCAACCGCTGACTGCCCAACCACTCTACTGCTGACTGCCCAACCGCTGACTGCCCAACCACTCTACTGCTGACTGCCCAACCACTCTACCGCTGACTGCCCAACCACTCTACTGCTGACTGCCCAACCGCTGACTGCCCAACCACTCTACTGCTGACTTCCCAACCACTAACTGCTGACTGCCCAACCGCTGACTGCCCAACCACTCTACTGCTGACTGCCCAACCACTAACTGCTGACTGCCCAACCGCTGACTGCCCAACCACTCTACTGCTGACTGCCCAACCACTCTACTGCTGACTGCCCAACCACTCTACTGCTGACTGCCCAACCACTCTATCGCTTATTGCCCAACCACTCTACCGCTCGCTGCCCAACCACTCTACTGCTGACTGCCCAACCACTCTACTGCTGACTGCCCAACCACTCTACTTCTCGAAGAACATTTTTTCCTCAGTGTCTCTATGTGGCTCCTACCGTCTTGCTGTCATTCTGTGCTGCACATTTTCCATGACCATAACATTCGCGGCCCAGGCCAGTATGAGCTCAGCCATGGTGTGTATGATGCTAGATACCAACACTTACAATTGGACTAGCACAAATTGGACCATGACAGCCAATTCTAACACAACAAATTGGACGACTGCGCAAATCGTAGTTATGGAGGAAAGTCTCAACGATGTAAGTAGATGTTAGAACTCTTTATGAGTTCAATTTTCTGATAGTTAGAAACGCTTTATTGCTTTGCATTACATTTTGTATTTCTCATGTACGATTTACTTAATAACATTACATTTCGTATTTCTTATTTACGGTTTGATCAATAACATCAAATACCGTTTTTTTTCTCATTTGTTGTTTGATGTATAAAACATCAAATTCCGTTCCTCTCATAATATTGGATCGACGACATCAAATATTTTTTTATTTTATGACTTGATTAATAATTTCAAAATTCGTACATCCATTTAAAAATTTTTTTTCTCTCATTTAAGATTTAGCAACAAGTTAAAATTTCGTTTGTCTCATGCCTACGATTTGATCAATAAACCATCCAATTTAGTTTGTCTCATGCCTACGATTTGATCAATAAACCATCCAATTTCGTTTATCTCATGCCTACGATTTGATCAATAAAACATCAACTTTCGTTTGTCTCATGCCTACGATTTAATCAACAAAACATCCAATTTCGTCTCACCTAGCCTTGGAAGTTTAACTGGGACAAGACAAGCCAAGGCTGGGCACTCTCATCTTTCTTTGTTGGCTACTACATCTCGCAGCTGCCTTCAGGCATTGCAGCAGCAAGGTACGGGGGCTGGGGGAGACAGCAAGGTACGGGGGCTGGGGGAGGCAGCAAGGTACGGGGGCTGGGGGAGGCAGCAAGGTACGGGGGCTGGGGGTGGCAGCAAGGTACGGGGGCTGGGGGAGGCAGCAAGGTACGGGGGCTGGGGGAGGCAGCAAGGTACGGGGGCTGGGGGAGGCAGCAAGGTACGGGGGCTGGGGGAGGCAGCAAGGTACGGGGGCTGGGGGAGGCAGCAAGGTACGGTTTAATGGTTGGGGGAGGCAGCAAGGTACGGTTTGGGGGCTGGGGGAGGTAGAAAGGTACGGGGGCTGGGGGAGGTAGTAAGGTACGGTTTGGGGGCTGGGGGGGCTGAGGGAGGCAGCAAGGTCAGGTTTGGGGGCTGGGGGAGGCAGCAAGGTACGGTTTGGGGGCTGGGGGAGGTAGAAAGGTACGGGGGCTGGGGGAGGTAGTAAGGTACGGTTTGGGGGCTGGGGGGGCTGAGGGAGGCAGCAAGGTCAGGTTTGGGGGCTGGGGGAGGCAGCAAGGTACGGTTTGGGGGCTGGGGGAGGCAGCAAGGTACGGTTTAATGGTTGGGGGAGGCAGCAAGGTACGGTTTGGGGGCTGGGGGAGGTAGAAAGGTACGGGGGCTGGGGGAGGTAGTAAGGTACGGTTTGGGGGCTGGGGGGGCTGAGGGAGGCAGCAAGGTCAGGTTTGGGGGCTGGGGGAGGCAGCAAGGTACGGTTTGGGGGCTGGGGGAGGCAGCAAGGTACGGGGGCTGGGGGAGGCAGCAAGGTACGGTTTGGGGGAGGCAGCAAGGTACGGTTTGGGGGCTGGGGGGGGGGGCTGGGGGAGGCAGCAAGGTACGGTTTGGGGGCTGGGGGGGGGCTGGGGGAGGCAGCAAGGTACGGTTTGGGGGCTGGGGGAGGCAGCAAGGTACGGTTTGGGGGCTGGGGGGGGGGGCTGGGGGAGGCAGCAAGGTACGGTTTGGGGGCTGGGGGAGGTAACAAGGTACGGTTTGGGGGCTGGGGGGGGGGCTGGGGGAGGCAGCAAGGTACGGTTTGGGGGCTGGGGGGGGGCTGGGGGAGGCAGCAAGGTACGGTTTGGGGGCTGGGGGAGGCAGCAAGGTACGGTTTGGCGGCTGGGGGAGGCAGCAAGGTACGGTTTGGGGGCTGGGGAGGCAGCAAGGTACGGGGGCTGGGGGAGGCAGCAAGGTACGGTTTGGGGGCTGGGGGAGGCAGCAAGGTACGGTTTGGGGGCTGGGGGGGGGGGTTGGGGGAGGCAGCAATGTACGGTTTGGGGGCTGAGGAGGCAGCAAGGTACGGTTTGGGGGCTGGGGGAGGCAGCAAGGTACGGGGGCTGGGGGAGGCAGCAAGGTACGTGGGCTGGGGGAGGCAGCAAGGTACGGTTTGGGGGCTGGGGGGGGCTGGGGGAGGCAGCAATGTACGGTTTGGGGGCTGGGGAGGCAGCAAGGTACGGGGGCTGGGGGAGGCAGCAAGGTACGTGGGCTGGGGGAGGCAGCAAGGTACGGTTTGGGGGCTGGGGGGGGGGCTGGGGGAGGCAGCAATGTACGGTTTGGGGGCTGAGGAGGCAGCAAAGTACGGTTTGGGGGCTGGGGGAGGCAGCAAGGTACGTGGGCTGGGGGAGGCAGAAAGGTACGTGGGCTGGGGGAGGCAGCAAGGTACGGTTTGGGGGCTGGGGGGGGGGCTGGGGGAGGCAGCAATGTACGGTTTGGGGGCTGAGGAGGCAGCAAGGTACGGTTTGGGGGCTGGGGGAGGCAGCAAGGTACGTGGGCTGGGGGAGGCAGAAAGGTACGGTTTGGGGGCTGGGGGGCTGAGGGAGGCAGCAAGGTACGGGGGCTGGGGGAGGCAGCAAGGTCCGGTTTGGGGGCTGGGGGAGGCAGCAAGGTACGGTTTGGGGGCTGGGGGAGAGTATAGGAGGGGAGAAAGAGAGAAAACAAAATAATCAGACAGCTTCAAATATGTATATTTCGCTCACACATAAAAGTTTAAATGTTGCAGATTATATAGCACTTAATATAGAAGTGTAATCATTAAAAAATTTGAATACATTTAGTTATTTGAATAGGTTCATCTATAATATAATCTATAATATAAGCGGGCTGTGTCTGTCCTTCCTTCCTTCCTTCCTTCCGTCCGTCCGTCCGTCCGTCCGTCATCGCTATAGATTTTGGAACCATAAAAGTAAGCATCGCACCATGCTGTGCTTTTCAGTGCACCGCAGTGTCCTATTAAAAGTAATAGAGTAGGGTTCGTTTATATAACGGCATAGAGCTATTTTATAAATGCCACTGTGTTTACTTTTTTGCATAACGTTATGAAAATATTGAATATTCGCACATTGCTAAAACATATTAAAAAAATCAATGTCAAATATCATTTTAGTTTATATTCCTAGACAAAATGGATACATTTCCATAAAAGTAGGTCGAAAAAACTAATTAATTCAACTTTTTTTTGTGGTAATTTTTTCAAGGGAGGTAATTTAAAAATATATTTAACTCAACAATAATTTAAGTTAATCTTTTTTTTTATTACTACCGCATTGATTAGTCTATGTTAAGGTTCATAATTAAAAGAGAAAAATGTTAAGATTATTTATATTATTTTCTAATTAGTCTATGATTTCTCAAAATCACTATTTTTAGTTTTTGTTTTTTGGTGTTAACAGATGGTGAAATTTTATAATTATAGTATAGAGAATGCTGGAAAGACTCTCTCTAGGCGCGGACGCCTGGGAAAAGCGTGTTTTTCGGTGGTTATTCTAATTACATTGCCAATGTGTTTTCTTAGAACCATAAAAGTAAACACCACTTGCCGTACATTCATTTGCATCGCATTGTTTTATTGTAAGTTATGGAGTAGGATCTATTTATGTGACTTAAATTTTTAATGTTGGAAGGCTCTCTTTGGGCGCGGACGCCTAAAAAAGCGTGTTGTTTGGTGGTGATTCTAATGTTGTGGTTGTGTTGTTTTTTTTTGGTTGTGTTGTGGTTGTGTTGTGGTTGTTTTTTGGTTGTGTTGTGGTTGTTTTTTGGTTGTGTTGTGGTTGTGTTGTGGTTGTGTTGTGGTTGATTTTTGGTTGTGTTGTGGTTGTGTTGTGGTTGTGTTGTGGCTGTGTTGTGGTTGTGTTTTTGTTGTGGTTGTGTTGTGGTTGTGGTTGTGTTGTGGCTGTGTTGTGGTTGTGTTATGGCTGTGTTGTGGTTGTGTTGTGGTTGTGTTGTGGTTGTGTTGTGGTTGTGTTATGTTTGTGTTTGTGGTTGTGTTTTTTGTGTTTGTGTTGTTTTTGTTTGTTTTGTTCTGTTCCAAAGTTGGTACATTTAAAAAAGATTTACCGTGGCGGAGCACGGGATGCAGCTAGTCTATAATATAAGCGGGCTGAGCGTGTGTCAGTCCTTCCATCCTTCCTTCCTTTCTTCCTTCTGTCATCGCTATAGCTTTTGAAACCATAAAAGTAAACAACGCACCATGCTGTGCTTTACAGTGCATCGCATTGTCTTATTATAAGGATTAGAGTAGGGTTTGTTTATATAACGACATAGAGCTATTTTATAATTTCCACTGTTTGTACAATTTTGCATAACGTAAAGAGAATATTAAATACACGCACATTGCTAAAACATATTAAAAGGATCAATGTCAAATATCGTTTCCGTTAATATTCCTAGAAAAAGTGCATACATTTTAATAACATAATAACTGTAGGTTAGAAAAATCTAATTAAACTGTTTAGTAATTTTGCCAAGGGAGGTAATTTAAAAATAAATTGAACTCGCGCTAAAAATGTGAATGCAAAATCTGCAAGACGGAATAATTGTTGGAATAATATAATTAGCAAAATGTGAATGCAAATTATGCAGACGTGTAAGAGTACATTATTGTTGGAATATTATAATTAGCATTGATTGATAAAAGGCTATATTTTATTTATTTTATTCACTGAATGTACTGTTTACTAATTAAAATTTTTAATCAACTATTCTCGAATTATTATATTAAGTCATCACGTTCATTAGGTGCGTAATGGTTTTAGTCATGAAACTTTATTGTAAATTTTAAAAAGTACTGAAAAAAATGCATGAATTTATAAAGTGCAATATGGTCGGTAAAACACGGATATTCTAAATACTGCGTTTAATTTATTTTATACACTATACGTATTGTTTACTAATTATTATTTTATCTTTTGGTTTCCGGACAAGCTAGGGGTTTTATAGCAGAGGCGTAGCAAGGGGGGGGGGCATTTGTCCCCGGGCGCCGACCTTAGGGGGCGCCTAAATGGGCTGGAAATACAAATTGAAAATTTGCGGGGGGGGGGGGGAGGGGGTGCAAATCGAAAGTTTGAGGGGGCGAGGTGGAAATTGAAAGTTTGAGTTTGTCCCCGGGCGCCGAAAAGGGTCGCTACGCCTTATTCACGGAGTCAGACGCGTCCGCCGGCGCTCGGAAAGGGCACGATTTGGCGCTACGGGCTAGACTGTGAGCAATATTCCTTGATGATTGCATTTAAATTGTTTTTATGGTATGAGTGTTGTGGTTTTTTTTTCGTTTGTGATTTTTTTTTTTGCGTTCATTTGTGTTGTGTTTAGTTTTGTTCTGTTCCCAAGTTGGTACATTTAAAAAAAGATTTACCGTGGCGGAGCACGGGATGCAGCTAGTTATTATATATTTAAAGAACATATTTTATTTTCTCGCTTTCAGAGCATTATTACAAATACGCTTATTATTAAAACTTTTTACAAGCTTTCATTTAACTCTTGCATCCTGTGTCTGTCGTCATTATGTCTGTCGACATTATGTCTGTCGTCATTATGTCTGTCGACAGACTGTACATTAGTAACTCTGTCCGACCTATTAAACGCGTGTTCATTTGGTGCGCAACAGACATCCATCTGTTTAAAGAACTATGCAAAGACATGAATAAAGATCACGAGATTCTGCTTTACTACACGACATGACGCTGGCTGTCAAAAGGAAATGTGAATCGTTTTTTTGAATTGAAAGATGAAA